AGCTTGTACAGCTCCATGTTGAAGCGGCAGCGCCGGGCATGCAAGTTGCAGTTGCAGGCTGCAAGGGAAGGAGAAAGGGTGAGGGCTGGAGGCGAAACCTGGGAACCCCCTGGGTGGGCTGGAGCTACCCCTGTGCCCCCTGCTGCTGCTTGGAGGCCAAGGCTGCCTGCGCTGGGGGAGCAGGACGGGCAGGGCACGGCACGGCACAGCTGGCCCCAACGTGCAGTCCAGATGTGCAGCATCCACCACCCCACGGGGCTGGTGCCGGGAGGGCAGGGCAGAGGGGAGAGGGGACGGGTTTTTTGGCTGAAGGCAGACAAGTACAGGATGGAGGGCTGCAGCTGGGGGGTCTGGCAGTGCCAGCCGGGCACCTGCAGCTCTGGTGACAGAGCCCGGCCGGCCTTTTGCCAGGACCACCCACCTCATGCCAGGGGGTGCAATGGTGTTGCCCCTGCTGCCTCCCAGGGTGCCATCCTCAGTGTTAGCAACACAGCCCCCAAATTCCTTGTATTAGAGGCTCTACCCTGTGTGCATGTGTACACACACAAAGAAGCCCACACAGCAACCCATGCATGCACGTACACAAATGTGCACAAGCACACGCAAGCTCACATGCACAAGCATGTACATGTGAACATGCATGCACAGAAACGTGCACCTGAATATCCACATGCCATCACATGTGCGCACATACGTGTACACATGGACGTGCGTTGATGCGGATATGCACAGAAATATCCACATACGTGTGCACAAGCATGCACACAAACACACAGGCTCACACGTGCAAGCACGCACGTTCCTACACATGCTCACCTGTGTGCATACATACACACGCATGAATATGCATGCACGGATGCACATGCGCATACACACACACATGCTATTTTTTCATTAGCCACAGGAACCGTGCAGACCCCCTGCCTGATTCCATGTGTGCGAGATAAAAAGGCAAAGAAATGCCCGTTCCTGATTAATGCTCTCGCAAAAAGATAATGGGAACAAGATTTCCTTCAGCAAAACACAACGCCCTCCTCCCCCCAGCCCTGGCCCCCTCCCTGTGCCGGTAAATTGAGGTTGGGTGAGAGTTTTTCCAGGCGTACTGTGAAATTCATTAACATGTCAGCCCAGATTTAACTGCTTAGGCCTGGCTTGGCGGTCGTGTGAAGTTGCCTCCCCCCTGGCCAGCAGCGCCGGTGGGAGCTTCAGCCCACGCAGATCAAACGCTCCCTTGCCTGTCTTGTCACTCCGGCCTTGGATTTGCTGGGGGAAGAAAGCCGGAGCAAACCCCAGCCCTAAAAAAGAGCCTTTTCAGAGGCTTAAATGAGTTGAGTGAAAGGTTGGTGCCGGCCCCCGGTGCTGCCGGCACCATGCACTCAAACCTCAGCTGCCCCGGAGCTCCACCGCTTTATGAGATTAGCGTAAAAATCACATGGCAGGCATCAAAATAACACTGCAGCGGGGCGGTAGGTGCCTTTGGGGCTTGTACCTTTTGAGCTCATTTGGTTTTTTCAGTGCTGGTGAAAAATTGGGATTTTTGAGGCAAATACTGACAAGGGGCTAGGTGCTGGGAGGGAGAGCGGCAAGCGCTGCCCATGGTCCCGGGCAGCCTGGGATGATGCTGATGCTCAGCCAGGCTCTGATGGGGCCAGGAGAGATGTGGTGAAGTGCCCCGACATCCAGGCTGCTCTTGCACTCACCAGATAATGGGACAGGGACAAGCCAGGGTGGTTCATGCCACTGAACCAAGGCAGCCACACATAACTCTGGAAAAGGAGCAATTTTGGGGGGCAGAGGGGCCTTGTTGTTCCCTTGCATCACTGAAAGGCCAGTTGGGTCACCCCAAAAGGCAGCTTTGCTGTCCCTGCTGGGAACGCTTGGGGCCTCCCCTGTGAGCCCTTGGCATCCTCTGGGGAAGAAGGGCCAGCAGCCCAGAGGGGAGGCGATGGGCAGTGGACGAGAAAGGTCAGGTAAATGATTCGCTGCCCTCGGAGTGGGTCCCTCTCTGCCTCCAGTTTAATCGGTGACAGAGTAACTGGCTGGGGCCTTTTCATGGCATCACCAACCCTGCTGCAGGCTGGGAGCCCTCCTGACTGGCACATCCCCTTCTGCTCTGGACCACCGTTCCCTGGGAACGTGCTGCGGATCCTCCCAGGAGCCGGCTTGTGGGGAGAAACCTCCTCTTGCTGTCCAGCATCATCCCCTCTGCCCACAGGCAGCGATGCTGTCCACGCCAGGTGGGTGCTCCCAGCCCAGGTTGGTGTCAGCAAACCGCTGTCAGCTTAGCAGGAGCCAAGCTGGGATTTTGGCGCGATCCTGGCCGGCTGACATGGGGACCTGGCTGAACTTGGCCTCACTGGGATGGGTGGCTGTCCCCTGCACAGGGACAGGGTCACACCAGCACGCGTGACCATCCCCTCTCCCCCCCGGCGCAGCCATCCGGTGCTAATCGAGGCAGGCGAGTCCCCCCCATACCCAGCTAAATACTTGCTCTGTTCCTCAGCGGCGACTCGGTTGCAAGCTCTGTCTGTCTCCTGTTAATCACTAATTAAAGGCTTGAATGTTCCCTGCTGTTTGGGGTATTAATAAGAATTTAATTGCACAGTTTGGGGCTAATTACGTGGTAGCTCGCTTCCACCCTTGTACAGTATGCCCAATTAAACAATCATATGATCAATTAAACAATCACAAGATCTAATAATTTACAATAATAGACTAATTAAATGTCGACACCTTGCAATGGAGCAACCTTCTGTCCCCCTTTTGATGGTGTTTGAATGCCTGCCTGGGCCCTGGCCACCCCTCAACCTCTTCTCCCCTGGGCTGCTGGGGATGGAGGAGCCTGGGGGGAGAGCAGGAGGGGTTTGGGGCAGGGACCCCGGCACAGGACGGGCAGTGCCGTGCACCGGGGCACACATGTCGCAAGCGACGGAGCCTGCAGGGCAGGAGTGGCGCTCACCGCCCCTACAATTCCCTGGGAACAATTAGCGAAGGCAGCCGGCTCAGCGAAACCCTAGACTGGCCGCGGCTGCCAACCCGCAGCGGATCTGAGCTACACCCCTGCTTTGGCTGGAGGAGAGCCCGGCCAGGATGGCGGGACAGGATGGGGCTCTACCTCTGCCCCAGGGATGGGAACCGAGACCAGAAAAGCCCCTT